ACACAGCAGGCCAAACAGCATCAGAGGAGCAGGAAAGCTGACGCTTCAGGAAGGGTCCAGACCCGAAATGTCAGTTTTCCTGCTCCTCTGATGCTGTTTGGCCTGCTGTGTTCATCCAGCTCTACACCTCGTTATCTCAGATTCTCCAGTATCGGCAGTTCCTACTATCTCTCACATCTCAAACCCTAACTTCTGCCTTTCCGTCCTAACATTTCCTATGTAGCTTAGAGACAAATACATTCAATCACATTTCTGCAAAGCATCTCAAGATGTGCTGCAACATTAGGGGCACTACATAAATTCAAGTTGTTACTTTATTTGCATCTGTTTGTTTGTGAACTCTAAACTTCAGAGAAAAGTGTTGAAATGTAAATAACTTCTCACCTTATTATGCTTAAATTGAATAGGTCATCTGAAGTAATTAGAAAGATCAGCAGGAATGACTCTCTTCATGGCTAGTAAAAAAACTGCCATTCAGGAGAATGTCAGGTTCCCTGACTCTGTTCCAATTTACACTGCAGTCTAACCCAAAAGATGCAATTGTTATAAAAGGCTAAAGTTTATAATTGCTGGGAAACGCAAGAAGTGTTTATCAAGTCAGGCAGTTTGTGTCCACCAATGCTGCCTGGCATGTTGAAAGAAATAGCCAAATTTACAATAAATTTCATTTATAGCATATCTTTTGCTTCTGTACACATTTATTGTACTGTCCAATAAAGTTCTCATTTGGCAATGCTTCTCACCAAACCTGAAAAGTGACAATAAAACTAAAAAGAATTTGCATCTTTTTTTTAAAAGAAGAAAGAATTTGCATTAGGATACAAGAAGTGTGAACATAATGCGCTGCTCAATAACCTACTTACCTCAGAGTCGCTGTGAGTGCAGGAATACTGCCCAAAAATGTGAAGAAAATCAAAACAAAAAATAGCACCAGGAAAATAGGCATGTGTGTACATGAGGAGTTACATTTTCCAGATTGTGCAGCACCCTGCCCAGATTGAAGGTTCTCCATAACACAGAGACAGTCGTGGTAAACCTAAAAACAAAATAATGCAAATAATAAAGATGCAAAGTCTCAGGTTGTGGTGTGCATTGGTTGTGTTCAATTCGTTTATTAGAAAAAAGGAACTTGCACACCCTCAAACACACTGTATGCCTATTCATTTTGCCTGAAGCTGGAGTTGAGGTTAGTCCAACCAGTACATACACCAAAACTCAGAAGATCCCCATCATTTAAAGACGTCATCACCACCATTAACTCACAGCTCTCTGTAACAAAATGTATACTTCAACAAAGTGAAGAATTATGATCCTATAAACTGTCTCCAATTTATGCATTCAAAGCCAATATAAGATTCTCGGTGAATAGTTATTACTATCTGCAAAAAGTACTTTTCCATTAACATTATTATGTGCAGACTGGATAGTTATTACATGACATTTAGCACAGGTTCATAAAGAGGAAATATCCTACCTCACTTAATCTCATTTACCTTTCTGTGACAAAAACAAAGACGCATTTAAAAGAAGAGGTCATAGAATCCCTACAGTGTGGAAGCAGGCCATTTGGCCCATCAAGTCCACACTGAATCTCTGAAAAGCATCCCAACTCAGACACACTCCACCTACTCTATCCTTATAACCCTGCATCTCCCATGGCCAATCCACCTAGCCTGCACATCCCTGGACACTATGGGCAATTTAGTATGGCCAATCCACCTAACGTGCACATGTTTGGACTGTGGGAGGAAACCCATGCAGACACAGGGAAAACTTGCAAACTCCACACAAACAGTGACCCGAGGTTGAAATTGAATCCAGGTCCCCAGTACTGTGAGGTAGCTTGCTAACCGCTGAGCCACCCTGTCACTATTACAATAATAAGCACTATGAATCCAAAGCAGTGGAGAAAAATGTGGCTAAAAGAAAGGAAACAGTGGGTGCTGCTGAAGCTGGGAAGACAAGAGTATTTGATTGCCTCAGGGGTTAGTGTTTGGATTCATTAATCTTTGTGGGTAGTCCCAGTGTCAGAAGCTTAATTTGTGAGGAAAAATGATTTTCAAATGTTCAATTGGTCTAGCTTTAACAGCTATTTAGGCAGTAAGTTCCAGCTTTCCTAAACACAATATGAAGATGGCTTCACATCTGTACTGCAGAAATGTAGTAAACTATAGCAAATAAATACTTAATCTCTGTGATAAAAGTCATCTTGGTGACAATAATGAAAAGACAAATAGTCTGATGGATATGGAAAATGCATGGAGAGTTGCTTTGATACAGTGGTACCATTCCTATGTTTGGGCCAGAGGAGGTTTGTTATCATATGTATAAACACACAGAACATGAATAGAAGTAAAACAATATTAATTAATTAAAATGACATGTTGGGATTGTCAAATGGGCTTTATTTTCTCTTGTAAGGACCATATCTTTTTACTTTGTATTGTTAAAAACTAGATACTGAAATGAGAAATTGCTTTTTGAAAAATCAGTGTTTGAAAGGTTGGTGGCAGATTTTTAAGCAAATAATCTGACATTCATAGTGGACATTGTGGAAACAACTGTTTGAACAAGCAACAATTAAAGTTCGTTTGTAGACGATTTGAAGCCATGAAAGTATGCTAATGCAGTTTTTGCTGGCAACAAGAAGTTGACTGATCTATGGACTAGTGACCAGCTATCAATGATAGAGACCATCTTGCCTGCCAACAACTGTATGATTAGTTCTCACATAACTGAACAGTTTGGAGCTGGGGATAAGTTACAGAGAGAGAGACCGAAGTATTCAATTCTTCTCCAGCTCAGACACGGTCTCGTTGTTCTCTGCAGTCAAAACTCAATGTAAACCTGAGGAAAATCAGTTTATCTTTCCTGCAATGATTATTGTAAGCTCTGACTTTTGACTAATAAGTCAGAGACTTTTTATAAGTAAACCAGCCATCTCGCAGCTCTTACCACCAATGGAAGCTTCCAAAGGAAGACAATTGAAGCAATTTGCTGGCCAACAGAAGAATTATAAAGATAATCTCAACAACAGTATCTGTGAACATGAATACTAAATTGCCTTTGCAGTTTGCCCTTTCTGTCCATAGCCTGTTTGTCTGTCTGTGAGAGTGTAAGGGAAAGTTTATAGGGGAATTAGAATTTTAATTAGTACTGTTATCTGCCCATAACTGTTTACCGGTAGCTAAAGTCTAATTATTTTTGAGACCTGGTCTGTAGTATCAATCAAGTTGGGTCTGAAAGTAGGGCAAATTGGGAAATTGCGTAATTTTTAAAATCTTTAACTTTTGTGATAACTCCAGGAATAATGGGCTTGATTTCCATTACACTACCCTATTGATCTGTAACACTCTCCACAGCTGCTCAATAGAATAATTTAAAGTTAAATATCCATTAGTTAAAAAGAGCATTTGTTCATTCTGTTTAAAGGCTACAAGTATGTGCAGTTAAAAAAGAAATTCCAGTCCTTTACAAGGCTAGCAACCAACACACAAACAAAGTAGAAACTAGAAAAATTACCTTTCTGCCATTGTCCAACAATGTTGTATTCAGTTCCGTACATCCAGCATGACAGGGGGAATAGTACATTAAACCATTTTCTCCACAAACTGGGTTATATAGTTCCATTGAACAGTTACACTCAGTATTACAAGCTGCAGTCACATTAACTGGACCATCATAAAAACTGTGGAAAGCAATATCTCAGTATCAATCAGCTCATTTCCTGGTTAATTGCATCACTAAAGCCTTAAAAAAGTAGAAATTAAACAATTAACGTATTTACATATCTTCCACATTTAATTCTTAAAAATAGTGGGGTTTGATTTCCATTACACTGCCCCAGGGAGTTGTAACACTCTCTCACATCTGCTCAATAGAGTATTGAATTGGATTAATCGAAAATGGTATTCCTATCCAGTCATACGTTCCTATCCATTTATACATACCAATATCATGCAATCAGTAATAAGAAGGAAGGTTTCTGCAAATTATGCACTAAATATTGAATCTAAAAACGCAGATACAGGAGATTCTTGCACCTCGTGAGAAAGTGTGAGCTGCTGTTACATCACCCAAATTACTGGGAAGTGTAGAAGAAAGCTGTGCATATTGATATACAGGGCTCTGTTCTTTGCAGACAAAAAGAACATACACATGCATTGTACTGGTTTCAACTCAATAGAATAAGTAACAGTCTTTCATGGGTCATTTCGTAGGGCAATGTGCTGACTACCCAGTCAACCTACTTGGTTTAAGACTTAAAGCCTGGCAATTAATTGTCAATCATCATTAATTGATGCATTCCCCATGGCACTGCCTCTACCAATCAGAGTTCACTAGTCATCCCAATCAACATTCTTATGCACCGTAAATGTTGGTTTTCTCCTTAAATTGATAGTCTTTCAATTTATCCTGGTGAATGCAAGACAAAATTTTGAACAAAATGTGACATTTTTCAGCAGTGCCACGAGGTTGCTTAAAGTTTAATATTGAAGACTGCAAAGCCAATCTGATGATGCCATACAATCCTACCTGGACAATCAAGGAGTCCATCTCTAGATCCGAATGGGGTCACACATGTCTCCTTACTTCTGACAGATTTAGTGATAATGTCTAACTAGGCAACATAACCTGTACCTGTTGCTGCCATGCAACAAATTACATCTTGTTACTAAGAACATGACATAAGAACTAGAAGCAGGAGTAGGCAATTTAGCCCCTTGTACCTGCTCCGCTATTTGATATGAACATGGCTGATCTCCAATCAGCCTCAACTCTACTTTCCTGCCTGTCTTCCAAAACCCTTCAACCCGTTACTAATTAAATATCTGTCTATCTCCTCCTTAAATTTACTCAATGTCCCATCATCCACCGCAGTCTGGGCTAGTGAATTCCACAGATTCATGACCATTTGAGAGAAGTAATTTCTCTTCATCTGTGTTTTAAATCTGCTACCCCTTAACCTAAAACTATGACCTCTCATCAAGTGACAACACCTCTTCTTGTTGACACTCATGAATGGTTTATGCTCTGCCACTTTAACCACACTGGTCCCGTACACTCAGGATAGAAAGAAGGATTGCTGGCAACACCCAAACAACCCGTAGCTGATCATGGTTAGTCCCACAAGACATACAACAGGAACACTAAAATGAAGCAGATAATGGATAAATATGCAGCGGAGATGAGAAGTGAAACTCACAATGTCTGCACCAGAGAACAAGTAAATGGTAAGAAAATGTCTGAACAAATTTCAAATTGACAAATTATTTTTGTGCTACTACTAAAATAATTCAGTAAGGCATTTTGTTTGAAACAAGAGAACATATGTTCTCAGAATCCGAAGTAAACAAATTGTGAAGTCTTGATTTAATTTTCAAAGATGTATTATTTACTGATCTTGTTGAATGATTACACACTAAACAATATTAAAGTTTACAAGTTATCCACGTTTATAATTAGATGTGTGCTCATACCTGCCATTGTATGTAGAAGTGATTCCAGCCACAGGCACGTTTGGGCAGTGAATGCTGACTATGAAAATAGCCAGCAAACCAAAGATCGTACAAATCAGACAAAGCTTGATGATCCCAGCACAACGGAGTTTTAACTTATTCACGATAAATCCACCAAGGAAAGTACCACCTCCACCTGCTGGGACTACAAGGTAGCCTAAAATTGGGGGAAGCAACAAAAGGCCATTACAAATCCATTTAATTTTAGGTTCAGTGTTGGTGTATGGCCAGTATGAACTTAATTTGTAGATCAGATTGCTTGGCATTGGACACATCTAGTTCAGACAATGTAAAGGTGCAAAACAGCATGCCTGGATATATGCTCAAAACAAAGACATATCTGGGACTAAAGAATAACATCCCACATTAACTAGACTCATCAACTTGCAGTAATGCTTGGGTTAGGCTTGATGAGTTAGTGCATAGACTAAAATTACATCGCTGCACTAAATGAAGAAGAAAAAAAATCACCAGGAATAGCAGGGGATTGAAGAAACCACTCACTGAAGTGTATCTTCAGATCAACAGGGATCTCATTAGAAATTATATTTTGCTAGTAAAATTCCAACTGGAACAGACTAAGACCACATTTAATAACTAAAAATATGAACAGCCATTATGTGCCAGCAGCAACAGAATTGTACACAACCATTAATCTGTATCATGGTCCAACACATCTTAACCATCTTAAAGTCAAAAGGTTAACTTCAACAGAAAGTGTACAAGAGTCTGTTACACTGCAACATCATTCATCCATTGGAATGACAAACTGTCCTAATGAGGATAAAACTACTTGTATCAAACTGCCTGCATACTAAATACCATAAGCAGCAGATTATAGAGCAGTGCATTGTTGCAAAGAAAGAGGTAGAATACAACTTTGCAGCCCTACTCAAGATTGATAGTGGGCAGCCAAGTGGTTCATCTCCAGTCCCCTTAATGTTTCATTGCAAACTACAGGGGATAAATCAGAAACACGATGGAATACCACAATTGCCAAACCTCATTAGCATGCACGACCTCCTGAATGCAACTGGGAATTTACCAAGTTTTCTTCAATAGCGCCTCCTTGCCCTGTGACCCATATCACCAGAAAAAAATAACAGCAAAATGTCTATAGGAACAGTATTGCCTCTAAATTCCTGATGAAATCACGTACAATCCCAAACTGGATTTATATTCCTTCACAATTACTGATGAACATTCTAGCATTCACTTTCTAACATTGTGAGAGTGTATCACCACAATGCCCGCAGCAAGTCAAAAGAAGATCCAAAGGGATAATGTTAAAGAGTTTGCCTTTAAGTAAGTATATCAGATGACAGTAACAGCATGACTGCCTCACTACCACTTTCACTTGACAGCTTTTAAGTGACTCAAGTGAATAAAAGATAATGTGGATACTCACCATCTGCATGGGACTCCGTTATTAAACCTGTTGCAAAAGAAACCTGAATAATTTATGTAATTCCATTCTTACCAAATAGGGTTGCAGCTTGTGAGGCACTCAGACTAAACTGGGATTCAAGGAACTTGGGTCCAAATGTAGACATGCCAGCTATCAGAGTGGCCTCTGTTGCTCCTGACAGACAGAGAAAGATGAAGGTTGGATTCCTCAGCAATAGCAATGCTGACCTATGGACAGAAAGAAATGGTCAAAGCCATGCTGTTAAGAGATGTGTCATTAGTGTAAGTATCAAATTCTGTCACTTTTTCTTTCTCGTTCCTTCTTGTTTTCTGCAATACCACAGAAACAAATGAACTGGAAAGCCATTAAAATGAAGATTTAATGTGGAATGTTGAAGGCAACATTAAGCAGAGACACAATGACTTAGGATTTATTCTTGGTTTTCTTTAATTTCTCATCCATATACGTTCTGGGAGGGGTGGTCAGGAGATTGAATCTGAGTTAAGTTCAGGCTTTCCTCATGTGAAATTCACCCTCTTTCTCTTACCAGTGAAAATGGGAATTATCAGAAATAGTGGTGGGACTCCTGAATCCAGGACCCCCTTGTCATTTTTAAACGTCCCTGGAGCCTCCATAATTCTGGAAATCTGAGCCAATAGTCCAGATATAGTCTAGCCAAGAATATATATAACTGATCCATTAATTCCTGATTTTCGAATCCCAATCACCTTGAGAATCATGGATGAGATACAGCTTTCTTCAATTAAATGCTGGGGAAACCAATTCCATAAGCAGTGACATCACAGGGAAGTGATGGTCTAGTGGTACTATCGCTAAACTATTATTCCAGAAACTGTGGTTGACTCTCAAGTGCCCTCTACATCGGTGAGACCAAATCTAGACTAGATGACTGTTTCGCTGAGCATCTTCGCCTGGCCCATTATGGCCAACCTAACCTCCCAATCATCCCCCACTCCACCTCTGACATGTCCATCCTTGGCCTCCTCCAGTGTTGCAGTGATTCAGAAGACAAATTTGAGGAACAACACCTTATTTTCCCTCTGGACACCCTATCACCCAGAGGACCCAACATTTAGTTCTCTAATTTCAAGTAACCTTCCCACCCATCCCTGGCTCCCTTGCCAGCCCCACCTCCTCCCTTCCATTCCACCTTCTGACCCTCCCTCCCAGCTACCAACCAGATTCATCCCTCCCATCGACCAACCAGTGGTATTTACTATAAGTGCCCACCTATCACTATTATTTTGCTACACCCCTCTCCTCCTTTATCTGCAGCTCCCCCTACCCCTACACCCAGTCCCAAAGAAGGGTAATACCCAAAACATTGACTGCTCCTCTCCTCCAGATGCTTCCTGGCTTGCTGTGTTCTTCCAGCCTCCTGCTTGCCTATTCAAATTCTCTCCGGCTGTTTTCCATTCTTTACTTCCCACCAATTTTAGCTCATCTTAACTTTGCTTGACTCGTGCCAAGTACCATTTGTCCATGACACTGTCTTAATGCTCAATATTGATTTCTGATCACTAATGTTTTAAAAACTTCATTAGCCTAGAGTGTAGAGGTATTACAGAACATTCTGACACATTGCTAGCTGTCACATTTCACTCTCCACTAGCCAGATTTCAAAACCAACGCATGTAATAACTTGAGGCAAAATTAACATCTGTGTGGGTGTAATCTCTAGAGTGTTACTGGAACAGTGTTGCAAGTTCTAAATAGTCAGATTATATTTGCCAGCAGCTGAAATGAAATATCAAACTGTCAAAGTAGAAAAATATCAGAATTTTTAAAATTAAAAATGCACAGCAAAGATAACTTGCATTTATAAAGCACTTCCAATTTAGGAAAGACTCTCACATTGGTTCAGAGGAATGTAATCAGATAATAATCTTCAATATCTCATCCTGTTGTTCCCTCCAATGACTAGGAACTCCTCCAATCTTCCAAGGATTCTCTGCTCATCTAATTCTAGCCTCCTAGACATAACATCTAGGTCATAGCACTATTGGTGACCATTTCCGAAACCTTAATCTCAAGAATTCTTACCCTTTTCCATTAAGATCCACCTTTAAGCCTCTTTAACAAAGTTTTTAGATACCCATCCTTACCTATGTGTCATAGGCTTTGTACCAATTGTCTGATAATATTTTCCTGAACCCACAGATGCTGCCAGACCTGTTGAGTTTCATGAGCAATTTCTGTTTGTATTTCAGATCTCCAGCATCCACAATTTTTTATTCTAATATACAAACGGGAATTACTTTTCATAGAATCCCTACTGTATGGGAACAGGCCATTCAGTCCAACAAGTCCACACTGCCCCTCCAAACAGCATTGCACCCAGACCCATTCCCCTACCCCTGTATTTCCCACCTAACCTCACCTACACATCCCTGAACACTACGGGCAATTTAGCATGGCCAATCCACCTACCCTGCACATCTTTTTGGACTGTGGGAGGAAACCCACACACACACACACCCACACATGGGGAGAATGTGGAAACTCCACATAGATAGTCGTCCGAGGGTGGAATCAAACCTGGGTCCCTGGCGCTGTGAGACAGCAGTGCTAACCACTGAGCCACTGTGCCAGCCATGCTGTGAAGTTTAAGAACACTGGCATTTTTCTACTTTCACAGTTTGACATTTCTTTCCAGCTGGTAGCAAATAAAATCTGACTTTTAAAAACACGAAGTATTTTTCCAAGTAAACACAGATTTTTTTTTTGCCTCGAGTTATTATGTGCGTTGCTTTTGAAATCTGGCTGGTGGGGCGACAAACGTGATAGTTAACAAAGTGCTGAAGTGTCATACGTACATTACTTCCAATACTGGAGCTTCATGAAGTTTTCAGAAACATTGTGAATTATGGGGGAAGCTTAAGTTATCTGCTCAGTTTTTCACGCTTCCTTGTGTTGGAGCAGACATAGCAGAGAGGACACAACTCCAAGATTCCTGAGAAAGTCCTATCTATGGCAGGCATTGTGACCCACTCTGGGGTAAGGGTGTGGGTAACGAGCCCACACACAGTATTCCCACCTCCCCCTATACCTGCTCCTTTGTTGAGGTGGACATTTCCTCTACACTCCCACACCTATAGTTTTGATGGACGTACAGGTGTTTATAGGAGATGTGGCTCATGGTTCCTCAGCATAGTTGTGAATAATGGTGGTATCCAAGTATGCAGTCAGGAACCAAAACCTAATGAAAGATGTAACATTCCACCTTGAAGGGGATTTTCAATGCCCGAGGTTGGAGATGCAATGATTTTCAAAGAACGAACATGCTATGACAAAGTAATGAAGATATCAAACAAATACAAGCAGTGAAATTCACAATAAAGAAACCTACCATCTTGCCGAAATTAACTCGCAAGCATTGAAAAAGTAGTTCAAAGAAAGATCAAGGCACGGTGGCTCAGTGGTTAGCACTGCTGCCTCACAGCGCCATGGACCCAGGTCCGATTCCACCTTTGGGTGACTGTCTGTGTGGAGTTTGCACATTCTCTCAGTGTCTACGTGGTTTTCCTCCGGGTGCTCCAGTTTCCTCCCACAGTCCAAAGATGTGCAGGTTAGGTGAACTGGCCATGCTAAATTGCCCATAGGGATGTGTAGATCAGGCGGGTTATAGGGGGATGAGTCTGGGTGGGATGCTCTGAGGTTCAGTGTGGACTTGTTGGGCCGAAGGACCTGTTTCCACACTGTAGGGATTCTATGATAAGGAGATCAATCAACCAAAGCTAAGCACCTCCCCCCACCCCCCGCATTGTAGTATGTAGACAAAGCCTGTTGGGTTGTGTCCATTAGTGAGTCATGGAGCTCAGCCAAGCATTAATAAGGAGGCCGTCTGGCAGAACAATGCCTGGCTATCTATTCCACCTGCTTCTGCGAAAGACATGGGAGATAGTTTCCCAAGGTTGAATGTTCTGCTAAATGGACTGATTTTTAACTCTGTTAGTGAACAGATCTTGAGTGACTTAACATCTAACCGATTTCTAGGAATCACAATGAAGACTCAAGTACCAGAAAGAAACCTTAATTGATGAGAATTATGGATTGGCTGTGCTTAGCTCCATGATATGTACCACAAGTGACACCAGGATTTTGGAAGCAAAATTATCATCCGCTCCTCCTGGCTCTGTGCCTAAGAACTCGCATGTAGGAAATCTGGTCTCAATGGTTTCTGAAGAGTGAGGGAGGTATGAGAGGGGATAAAATCTTAAAGGAAAAGTGGAGATCCTATCACTGAGTTAGATTATATTCAAATCTATACAGGAGTAATTGTGGCAACTGTCAACCTATTTACTTTAGAGACTCCTGATGATTTGCACATATAAACTGGCCAGTACAGACAGGAATCATTGGTGTGTGATTTTGAATTTAAGTTAGCAGAATCTTTGCAAAAAGAGGTTGCAAATTTTTTTTTTTGGTAAACAAATATTCATTTGGGATACAAGTATTTTCCTTTTTGCATTTCCCATGTTACGTGGGGTTGTCACAAAACTGGGTGATCACCTTGATTTGAAACATATTTTTGAATTGGGTGGCTGTTTCTTTTTTAAACAGCTGGATGCCCTTCCTACCATATTTATCTGGGACTGTAAACCATAGTGTGGCTGACCAGGAAAGACTCTGGCTGTCACTGCTTACCACAGGAACAATTCACAGGCACTCACAATCAACCTGTCTGCTCATGTTACAAACACATCTTCCAAGTCCTTAAGCGGGACTTGAATCCAGAATATCTTCTGTCTTAGATGTGAGACACTACTACTGCATGACAGCCTCCTTTGCAGAGACTCCCTTGTAAAGACATGATTAAATAATGATAATTATGCCACACAGATTACCTCGGCATGTCCTTTAATGTCTTCCCAAAATCTGGCTCCAGCGCTGATTCGTTGCTTCCATCCTTCAGCTGATGAGCTTCAGAGACTCTCATTGTCACATAACGTTGTGACCCTAATTTATAAAAAAGTTGTTCAGCTGGGATTTTATCCAGACTACACACAGTTACAAATCCTTCATTTCACAGGCAAGTATTAGGATTACCCACACATATCACACAGATGTTTCATTTTGAGAATTAATTCAATGTTATTTCAAAACTACTTTGTCATAAGTGCAGAACAGTGATAATTTGGGGTGAACAAAACCATGTTACATAGATCAGACATTACACCCACTGTTTTCTAAAATTCGCTTTTTTCCCTTCTAAAACATTGTGATGAAGGCTAAGTTACATTACAGTACAGGATTACAAAACAATATTTATCCGAAATTGAACTTATGAAAAATAATACTTGCATTCTGAAACAAGAAAACAGATGGCATAAAGTTTGAGTTTTAATTCTATTTCGCAAATGGAGTGAGAGTTTTAGCCTTTGAATACATCCACAGAGAAAAACAGCAACTTTTTCCTAACTGTAATTTTACCAATGCGACTGGAGCTGTGGCCGCTGAATACTCAGCTGAACCAGAGGGGAATGATAACTCTCCCACCATTCCACCTGCGTACCTAGCTAATTCCCTGGTGAGTGAAGACAATGGCCTGTCCCTAAATTGAGGTGTTTGGTATAGATAAATCTTGGTCACAATCATCTGGATGTAATCCAATGGGAAAAATGAATTGTATCATGGGTTACCCAGCACTGGGGCATGAGAGAAAAATGAAATATTGAATCAGGATATGCAGTTCAAGTAGCTAATTACCAATAGAACCTAAGTAACATAATGGCTAGCTTAAATTTACTGTGTACTTTTTTTCTGTATATTAAATATTTTATCTTCCTAATGGCTCTGCCTTTCTTACTAAAAAGTCAAGTACACTGCCTTGTTTTTGTGATAAAAAGTCAGCCACCTGAAATTTTAACTCTGATTCTCACTGATGCTGCCAAACAAACTGTATATTCTGCATTTTCTGAGATAGTAGGAACTGCAGATGCTGGAGAATCTGAGATAACAAGGTGTAGAGCTGCTCTGATTCTGCATTTTCTGTTTTTATTTCTAATTTCCAGCTACTGGGCTTGAGTTTATTTTTATTTATTATTATTATTAGTGACAGACTTAGCACAGGAACACTTTGTGCCATGTCTAAATTCAAAGTAGATTGGAAATCAAAGTCCAAACTGACTTCAGACTGGAGCAAAGAGAGGCTGCCTTCACTTGGAAGTCTCACCGAAATAGATTCTAGAAAGGTAGGTCCTTAATGCAGGATACAGGCTGTCTGTAACTGCAGAATCAGTGTGAATTCAAACGGTTCTGTACAGACAGTGACTGATGAATGCATCTTCCTAAAGAAATATGGCAACAAAATCCTTCCATGTGTTTTTTTTACACTTGGGTATGTACATGGTCAAATACATGAACTTGGAATGTACTAGTAGTGTAAATGGAGTGCATTGCAAAACTAGGATTGACAGTGGCTAGTGGATGATATAGTGCTACACATTACAGAGAACTTGATGAAAATTGAGGAGTTATGCTAAAATTGACTGATTAAGGAAATGTGATAGAAAAATGCCTGGAATCCTCAAGCAGTTCCCGACATGTGGTTGTTCTATATTAGCTGCATCTTGAAGTTGTGCTGTCTTGGTTATAATTGTAAGTGTGGTGCAACAAAACATGATGAACAATTTCAGTTACTGTAAATATAATGGTTAAATGGTTTATAACCACATTCATCTCTCCCCATGTAGAATAGCACAAATGAATTTGCTATACATCGGGCAAGAAAGGAACAAGGTAACAAGCTGGGACTTGCATTTACTGCACCAAAGAGGGCCAGGTGGTGGACTCATCTGCACAGTTAGTGACATCGGGAAGACCTGTTCTCAGTTATGACAAGCAGCAGGAGAAGAGAAAACTGTTGTAATATTGCTGCCTACTCCCGGTGACCTCTGAACAGGTGAATCACGAATGGCCTGCATCACAGACTGAAGCACAGCTTTCCTGGTCAGTGACGGTGATACAGATTGACCAGATATCTAAACAAATAGGGCTCATTAAACAACACAAAAACAGAAATGGGGATGACAGAGAGAGACAAATCCCAATGTCGACTGGCTTTAGATTCACTTTTACTGTTAGTCCCTTTTGCTACATGAATAAAAATATTCAAACATCCGTTATGAACTGTTAAGAATTCATTCATTACAGATCTTCTTTATGTCCAGTCTATTGTAGAGAGGCATTGAGTAGCAGATATAAATACGGGGACACACATTTTCAAATTGCATGCATTAATATTGGAACACAGATACAGTGACACCCTGTGGTCACAAAATGCATAGCATCAGGGTTTTTATACCCATTCCCAGAAATGCCATAACAAGGTGTAGAGATAGTAGGAACTGCAGATGTTGGAGAATCTGAGATAACAAGGTGTAGAGCTGGATGAACACAGCAGGCCAAGCAGCATCAGAGGAGCAGGAAAACTGATGTTTCAGGCCTAGACTCTTCTGCAGTTCCTACTATCCCAGAAACTGCCAAGACGGTTAGATAAGCATATTTTTTTTTTTAGAATCCATACAGTGTGGAAACAGGCCCTTCGGCCCAACAAGTCCACACTGAACCTCAAAGCATCCCACCCAGATCCATCCCCCTATGACCCACCTAATATACACCCTCTACCTCCCTGAACACTACAGGCAATTTAGCATGGCCAATCCGCCTAACCTGCACATCTTTGGACAGTGGGAGGAAACCAGAGCACCCGGAGAAAACCCACGCAGACACGGGGAGAATGTGCAAACTCCACACAGACAGTCACCCGAGGCTGGAATTGAACCCAGGTCCCTGGCGCTGTGAGGCAGCAGTGCTAACCACTGTGCCACCGTGTCGTCCTATTAGATGAGTGAATGAAAGCTGTGCTGTCTCCAAAAAAAATTCCACGTCTATTTGATTTGAAGAGATATGGATAAAAGACTACCCTAATTTAACTTGTCCCAACCACCCTCAGGAAAACAATCCAGCTTCAGAAAGCTGCAAATCTCAACAATTTAGTAATTGCTGTTTGAAATTTAAGTCGGCAGTTTTAGATCTTCCAGCAAGAGACTGTGGACTGTAGTCAGATCTAGAAATCCTAGCGTGACGAAGACAATTGAAACGAGCCACACTAACTTAGAACAAAAAATGGACCCATCTGTTTTGCGTAAATATATTTCCAAACCACAAGGAAGCAGGGAGGTGCTGTGAGGTTTGTGCATTAACACTTGCATCATTATTTTTTCTATCTGCAGTAGCACAAAGAAATTTTTGTAGGGTCATGAACATGTTACTTAGGAACAATAGAGATTTAGGACAATTACCCCAATGAACTGATTTCCATTTTCAACAGGGAAAAAAACCTGAGGTTACCGCAATTTTTTCAGAAGAGTTCAGCCAAAGGATTTGGAAGAGGAACTCAGCCAGCAATTGACACTGTTTAACTGACTAATGCCATGATCAAAGTGCATCAGGTACAGTGATTTCGTGTTTCAGTGCGTCATTGCATTTCTACATGGAGGTACACTGCTGGTAAGAAATAATTGTGACACATTCTGTTATTTCTCTGAGCAACACAAGTAACGATTCTGATCTTTCCTAAACTGGAGGACACTGATTTCACATGTAATCTGTGTTACATTATACACGGCTATTATTTTGCAAAAATTATATATCTATTCAACTCACTCAATTTTACTTTTGTCATAACAGATCAGTGGAAATATATTGCTGAAAAACTGAATTACACGGATCTGCTGACCTTGTGGCCACACAATGAACAGATGTGCCTGTTGCATTGTGAGACATTAATGCTTAATATTTATTTGAAACTTTCCCCTCCATATTTTAGAAGATGACTTCACCCATTGACTTTATTCTGGTTCACATTTCCACTATTTTAGCATAGGGAAATATTCAGATAATTACTCTTTCCTGGGTTAATACTTCATACCATTATTTCAGGTCTCCTGCATAACTTGATCATTTTAATTTGGTTGACGATTTTAAAAGTTTTGTTTCCAATTCAAATAATTCAAATTTCTGATCAAAGCTGAGCCAGCAACACAATCATTACAGAAAACTCTGTGTGCCAGTTACACTGATCATGTGGAACCATTATGCGGATACAGGGAACAGGAACTGGTCTGTATCCAAAGGTCTAACTTCAAATACTACAAAATGAACAAGGAATTATGATAAAATTTCATATGTTAGTTCTTGCCCAGTTTTTCAACCGTGTACACAATGCAGTTATTCAAATCTGTCTGGAGATTACATTCTCTAGCCTTGTTGAGGTTCTCACTAAACAGTGAATTGTGATACTGTAAACTGCACTCTCCCCGGACAGCCAGAATTTTAAATTATGAAGTACATGAAAAATTATGATCCTGGTAAGCAAGTGTTTGCAGAATGAGGCTGGGAGATTTCACATTCCCAAAGCGTTAAAACTCGCTGCAGTGAGCTTATGAGAAGCCCAAGAGAGTCAAGTAACCACCTTTGGACTCAGAAATACAAAAATAAATGATGGCAGATGTTGGAAATCGAAGAGAAAAACAAACAAAAAAAAACTGCTAGAGAGCTTCAGGAGACATCAAGAAATTGAAATGTTGGGCAGAATCTTAAAGATGTAGATGCATAGCCTGTTCTCTCTCATGACTGATCACCTTTTCCAGAATCTGGCACCATTTCTAAACAGATGGAGAGGCTTGTGAGGTGTGAAAACCTGGCTGTTGGACCATAATGGGAACAATTCACTTTTGCAAAGAATTTCATGCTCCATTGTCTAAGCTTCCTTTTATAGTTTGAGATTTTATATGTATAGTGAGAGGTTATACTTGTACTCTTCACTTAATGAGTTTTGGCTTCAAGTCTTTGTTCTAGCAATACCCTGTGGTTGAGGGCCATTATCCCTCAGAGACATTTGAAGGTTTCATTGTGAGTTACAAAATTGATTATCTGAAATTAAACAAATGTCCTGGGTAATAATGCCCCAAGGTAATCTTTTCTGGGTGGGGTAATCTGTCTCAGAAATTAAGCATATTCCTACAAATTTGCCACTTGCAGGTCACATGACTTTGGCAGTCATTTTAAAGTTTGCCAGCTCATTTTTAACTGTTCTCTCAACACTAATGTTCAACGCTATCCCGTCTGTTGATCAGTTTTCAAAGATTAAAAGCCTGAATTTTATATCATCATGCCAATAATCACAAGTTGCTTTTGTGGAAATGCAGTAAGATTTAGTAAACTAATATATTGCAGCAAGAATTCTGGCTTTAGCTACCGATTCAGTACCTGGAAGCTGTCGAGGGTAACCGAGGATCGGGACAGATATGAGGAAAGCAGCTGCTCCAGCTCCAAGGAATCCAATCCACCATGCTCCAACCCATAAGGGGTTTTCGGGGGTAAGGTTAACCCTGTGTTGAGAAAGTTCACCAATTAGTTTTGGGAGAGAACATTTTCATGGTAAATAAAACATTTAGGAAACACAGACAGTTACAGACTTTGTTTGAAATGTATTCCAACTCGACTGAAGGATAGGAGATTGCATAAATTCACTAATTCATTACGTAAGAATTAATTGATAGCTTGACCCTTTGAACAAATGTGAATGCATAGACATAACACACATTTACCAATGCAGCATTTTGTGTAATGGCAGCTGGGGAAGAAAAATGTATTCTAAGAAATGAGGAATCAACGGTCAAATGACTGACCACCTCTAAGTTCAGCACTCCTGAAATTTTAGATATTGCAACTATAACCACTCATCGTCATAAAACACACAGTGTTAGGATTTTAGTGCAGTGATCAGAATCTTCGAAATGACAGTATGATTATTTGATTTGTCATACAAAAGTTGGTGCCAGCTCTTTGTCTTGATGCCAATTGTGCACTTTTCCTGTATTCTTTTCAAATTATTTCAATTTCTCCTCAAATATCGTCACAAACAATGTCTCAACAGCCTCTTGTTAGAAGGCAGTCTCACAGAGGTTTCCAGCATGGAAACAGACTGTTCGACTCTACTTGTCCATGCCGCCCAGTTTCGACAATTAATCTAGTCCCATTTGCCTGCATTTAGTCCATATCCCTCCATAGCTATCATCCATGTACCTGTCCAATATCTTAATATTCTATATCTTAACTCAGTACATTTCAGGATTTTTGATCATTCTTTTTCAAAGGACTGTATTAATTGAGTTAAGTTTGGATATATTTTTAAACAAAATTCTCCCCGTGTCTGTGTGAATTTCCTCCGGTTTCCTCCCACAGTCCAAAGATGTGCACGCTAGATGGACTGGCCATGCTAAATTGCCCATAGTGTCCAGGGATGTGTAGCTTAGGTGGGTTATAGGGGGATAGGTCTGGGTGGGATGCTCTGAGGGTCGGTGTGGACTTGTTGGGCCAAAGGTCCTGTTTCCACACTGTAGGGATTCTATGATTCTATGAAAGTGAAATCTGTATCAGAAGGAACACAGCAGCGGGACATTTGAACAAATATAAGCTCACCAATTAATATGGACTCATGAAGAGCAGCTCATGTCTGACTAACCTTGTTGAATTTTTTGAGGAGATTGCTATCATGGTGGGTAGTGGACTACACGGGTGCCTGTACAGACTTCAGACTCTCTGCACACAAGTAATTATTGGCAAAAAAAATTAAATTGTTTGGAATTGGATGCCACCTTTAGGGAGATGATGACGTAATGGCAACAGAACAAAGAATAACAAAGCACCATACCACACAGGGTTATAGACGCTGGACCTTTGACAGTATTTTTCAAACCCATAGTCTCCACCATTTGAAAGGACAAGGGGCTGTAGATGCATAGCAACATCCACTTCAAGCTCCTCTCAAAATCCCACACTACCCTGACCTGGAACTACATGACTGCAGCTTCGTTATTACTGGGTCAAAAGCCTGCGGCACCCTTCCTAACAGCATCTCTCTATACCTCAAGTACTGCAGTGGTTCACAAAGGCAGCTCACCACCAACTTCTCCAAGGAATTTAGGAATAGGCAACACATCCCAAATAGCTATTTTGAAAAGGAGAAATATATTTCCTAACAAAATATATTTCCTTATCTTTCTGGCGGCTTGGCTATATCCACATTAAGAAAACCAGAATGGACTAATTGACTCCTTAATCCCCATCAGGGAGAAGGTGGTGCAGTGGTAATGTCAGTGGATTGGTACAAAGTAACGTGATGGCTCAGTGCCTCAGCACTACTGTCTCATAGGGCCAGGGGCCTGCGTTCGATTCCACCTGTGGGTGACTGTCTGTGGAGTTTGCACATTTTCCCCATGTCTGCTTGGGTTTCCTTCAGGTGCTGAGGTTTCCTCCCACCGTTCAAAGGTGTGGAGGTTAGATGAATTGGCCATGCTAAATTGCCCATAGTGTCGGGGGCGTGCAGGCTAGGTGTATTAGCCCTGGGAAGTGCAGAGTTACAGCCCTACAGACTCAATACTGAGTTCAATAATTTTAAGGTCTAAACTCTCCCATGTCCTAGCCTCCTACCCCACACACCAGGCCATGTTATCACAGAGCCTGCCATCAGACACTACCTATTGTTAATCACTAATAGTCCCCATTAACAGGTATTCACCCTCCTAGCCAGATCGTTATCAACTCCTTTTTCTATCCAACTGCTCTTCTCTCTCTTTGGACTATATCCTTCATCCAGTTGTTTACTCCCTACCCCACCCTGCCCTATCTTCTGCATGTAAACCAATATTTTCCTTCCCAACCATCAGTTCTGAGGAAGGGTCACTGGACCCGAAACGTTAACTCTGATTTTTTCCTCACAGATGCTGCCAGGCCTGCTGAGCTTTTCCAGCAACTTGTTTTTGTTCAGGGTTACAGGGATAGGATAGCAGGGCAGCTCTTGGGAGGGTCAGTATGGATTCAATGGGCCAAATGGCCTGCTTGCACACTGTAGGGATTCTAAAATTCTAGTAATCTAGAGGGCTAGGCTAATGGTCAGGGGGCATTGGTTTAAATCCTGCCAGGTAGTGGAATTTAAAGTGAGTTAGTAAAATTGTGATTAATAATGATAACCAGACAGCTAACATTGTTTGTCATTTAAAAAATAAAAATAGTGTGGTTTAAATAAGGAAATATCATTCAGTACAAATGGAATTAATGTGGTCAACAGATGTTGATTTTGCTAGCAATGCTTATGGCTGTGAAATGATTAAATAAACAACCAAAGGCATTTTTCTGAAGTACTTCTGTTCCAGAAGAATGTGTCAGTGAGGAATCATTTCCCTCATCTAATATTTCTCTAAAAATACTTTCTATTCATGATCGGTGGAGTCACAATCTGACATTAAGAAGGGATAAATTGGATAGCTCCCAAAAAGATGTCTGGGGACTGCAATGAATCACTTATGCATGTCCGTTGATTATAATGCAAACAGCACACTGACTTTACGCTGCCTGTTCACTTTAATAACCTGTGTCCAGTCAGTGCTAAGCAGGCCAATTACTGCATCAACAAGCAGAAGTTTGTGATTGGCTCGCAGCATTTATAGGTAGCCTGCACCTCTTAGAGCGGAGGCGCATTGTCGTTGGAAGAGATGCTGGAAGTCACAGTTGAAGAGAATTTGACCTGAAGCCGTGGGAATAAATAGCTACACAAGTTAATGCCACGACATGTTGGTTCTGACTTAAAACTGCAGATGATGCTCCTCTTACATTCCTTCCCTCCCTGCACCACAACCTTACTCTTGCACATTTTTTTCCTTTCAGACACTTGAGCTGCAACTGCAATGGAGAATTACCCCAAAAGATTAAAACACTTAATTTCACACCCACCCAGATATTGACACTGCCACAATATGTTGGAAGCAAATGCTGCACAGGATGAGACCCAGGGCACGGGGGTACAGGAAGGACAAGGATAGGACACATGCCCACTCAATCAGATGAGGGCTTTGATTGGGTAGGCTCCAGAAAAAGGCTGATGGATATCAACATCTAAACTGTTGGTGCATTGGAAGTACACCAGACAACCTTGGTCAATGCCAAGACACTTGGAGAATCAACTTTTCAACTTTATTTAATCACATTTCTGCAGAAATGCTGCCAGCATAGTAGCTATTGACCTGCATGCTATGCTGGCTACAGTTACACACAGGCTGAAAGAGGAGGAAATGGATTCCCTTTCTGGTCTGGAACAGAGGACTTGCTGGCATTATGAGAGTGTGTCTTATTTCCACTAGAGGGCAGTCTTGTTCATAATTTTGTTCAGTCAACCACACAGCCAAGAAAGTTTCTTTGACATTTTCCAAACAGATCTGTTGAAAGGGGGAAAATTGAGCTGAAAGAAAGGAGGCTGTTTGCTTTCAAATATATTTAACATTCAAGGTGGAATGTGAACAGGCTGCACCAAGAAATGGGCAGCAACAGCTGAGTTCTTTCCAATGCTAGGACACAGAGCAGTTTTTCCGCCGCCTCCACCTCCACGCTTACTTCTTCAACCGTGAGCCTTACCCTCCCTCTACTGACCCCTTCTCCTGCCTCCAACACACCCCCTCCTCCTGGACACCACCCCAAGGCCTCCTACCCTCCCTTGACCTCTAAAAAAAACAAGCTTCAAAATCTCCCCTCCCCCTACCGCATCCCCAAACCAGTCCAGCTCATCCCCGCCTTCCTAACCTGTTCTTCCTCCCACCTATCCCCTCCTCCCACCTCAAGCCACACCCCCATCTCCTACCGACTAACCTCATCCCGCCCCCTTGACCTGTCCGTCCTCCCTGGACTGACCTATCCCCTCCCTACCTCCCCACCTACACTCACCTTTACTGGCTCCATCTCCGCCTCTTCGACCTGTTTGTTTCCTCTCCACCTATCCTCTCCTCTATCCATCTTCTATCCGCCTCCCACTCTCTCCCTATTTATTTCAGAACCCCCTTCCCCTCCCCCATTTCTGATGAAGGGTCTAGACCCGAAACGGCAGCCTTTCTGCTCCGATGATGCTGCTCGGCCTGCTGTGTTCATCCAGCTCTACACCTTGTTGTCTCTTTCCAATGCTGTTTTGATTATTGTGGACTGAGAAGGAAATAAATAATTAGAACCAAATTGATTAGTCACTCTCTGACCTCGCTATGAGTAACTCACTATAATGTTGTCTGAGCCCAAGAGAAGGTCATCTGTCCATGTGACATGCATAGCTTGGGGATACGAATGGAGAACAATAAAAGGGAATGGCATTCCCTCAGCAAAACGTAAATATTTGATACCGCAAGCTTTCTACCGAATAAATTCTAAGGTTTCCTCTCACAAGAGAATCTACTGGGATAAAAAAACCAGGACAAAATTTGTATTCATAAATATAATGTCAGACAATGAAGGCCTTTGTTTCAATTAATTTTTTAAGGAATTTTTTTTTAAGGAATTAATTTGCAATTAATTCATTTATAATGAATGATCATTATCATCTTGCCATTGCAGAATCTAATGTTTCTTCTGGAGAAATTGTGTTGCATTAGTATTATACTGAATTTCCAATCCAAAGACTCAGGCTATTACTTTGAGGACATGGGTTCCTTTTTTTTTTTAATGCTAAGCAGTCCCTCAGCACCAAGGATGGCTTGGTCTGTAGTTACAGCTCCAGAGCTGAGTGAAGAGTCCAACTCTGGATCCACACACCAACTATAGTTGGGACACCTGGTGACTTGAAGAGCTGGGATACTTGGGTTTCCAAACGCCGTTAAGCACGGCCTCCTCCTGGGCCAGTCAGAGATACTCAGCCTGCTTGGCACCAGGAGACTCTGAAGACATCCTTGAATTGTTTTCTCTATCCTCCCGATAACCTTTTACTGTGACGAAGCTTGGGGTAGAGAGTTTGTCTGGGTAGTCACGTGCAGCGTTCCTTCTAATTTTCTTCCTGACTGCATGGGGCCTGTGAAGTCTGTGCAAGGCAGCCACTTCTGGAACTGCAAGTCGATGCTACGTTTGGAATGTCGGAGTCGCTGCTGGGCAGGAGGGGATGCAGGGCACATGGCTGATGTCACCCACCCATAGCAGCTGGTTGACAGTAATAAATGCCTCGATGTTGGGGTATCAGCCTGAGAGATGACACCATTAATGGAGCATGTATGCCATCATCCAATTTGTAGAATTCAACTGGCGATTTTGTTTAGGGGTTTGAGATGTCTGCTGTGCATTGTCCCTGCCTCTGTTGCATATAGAAGAACAGCTGATACTACTGCTCCACCCAGCTTGAGCTTGGCACTGGATGTGATGGCTCAATCATCAAACATTGCTCTTTAAATGACCAAAGTCTGCTGGAGGTCATGTTTGATTTCATCACTGATGTTCGCCCTCAAATGAAAGAAGGCTCCTACTGTATGAAAATCGATCAACATTGTCCAATGGTTCTCCATGGATCCTGAGCGATGGGGCGGGGCTACTGTGTTGCACGGCAGGAGAACGCTTATAGAGGACCTTTTTACTTATGGATCTTTAGCCAACGGCCTATTCTTTCACATGCCTCTATGAACACAGAGCTCGGAAGTATATAATCCGTGATACTTAGCAATGGATCCCCTGCAGACCCATTATGCGAACAAACTAGAGTCAAGCAAGGCTGTATCATTGCACTTATGGTCTTTTTCACCTTCCTCTCCACCACACTCCACCTCACACATAACGCTATAAAAATTGCAATTTCCTGTCTCCAAAATCTATCAGATCCATTTTACATACTAACCACTTTTTGTACAGAACTATTTTTGACAACCATCCATTTTTAGCCACTATATCACTGCCCTGCCCAAGATCAACACATCCACTGTGGAATGGATATTGAAAATGGGGAAAAATCCATTATTTATGGATCAAATACTCACTGACTTAATCCAGTGATTCATTGGGTTGCCTGCCAAAAATCTTTGTTAGTGTCTATCCTCTGCAAACACATGAGGAGGATGCAAATCCTTGGCTCAAAGTGGCTTAAACGTTGACAATCTTGTACAAAGCCTGAGGTTGGTTGGCGCAGGAAATCAAAAAAATTAACACTGATGGACCTCAGAGTGCGAGATGGAAATGAGTCACAGAAGCAGAGGGTGAGAGCTTTACTCACCTTCTAATCATGCTGTCTGACCCAGGGCCTTCTTTATACTGACACAGGTCAGAAGCATAAAAAAATTTATTGTATTTCTCTCATTTCAAATTGCACAAAACTGACTTCAGAGTGATTTTTTGGCGGGGAACCTAATCAACCTATTAGCTATGGCAGTGAATAATTTTTGCTCCCTTTTGGGACTACGCAATGTGTACAGGTATTCAGCATCCGAACCTATACTGTGGCAATGTTTCGTGGAAGTGTCTAGATATAAGGTGAGCAGTGGATTTGGGATTTTATATGAAAGAATAGCTTGGCAGCATTGTCATAAAAGCATAAATGGTCTCTTGCAAGCACCTTCAGAACTGAACTGAACTGAACCACCATTGGGAGAAAAAGCCTTCAAGAGCAGTGAAGAGAAAATTGAATGAAAAATGTAAACATGTTTTTTTTAAAACAGGAGAAATAAAAGAAAACTTTCTGATCAGGAAGCCTCAGATGCCACACATGCTCCCCCCCAAATAAAAAAAATCGCTCCCCAAAATAGTATGATTCAGGTTATTTTTCAATTGCGTTCAGATCAAAATGTTGTTTTGCACTGGCCAGCGAGACTCCAGTTCTTTGAATACAGTCAGTAGAGTTAAATCTCTTGGGAGCGGTAAAGCAGCCTCGCAGAATTAAAACTAGATCATCACAATGCACATGGAACGACAAAATCAAATTCTCAAAGAGGTTCTGATTATAAGCAACATCTTACGTGCAATAGTACTGGCAGAGTGAAAAGGAAAGGCTGTAACTCACTTAGTGTTGATCTCAGTATAGATTTTCAGGAAATTGCCTCCGAGTAAGTAACCAGCAGCTGGTCCAATAATTGCTGCTGTGTAGAAAATACCTTGAAATAACAACAGAAATGTTCATTTCACAAATTGTGCTGTACTTAGATTGTACAGATGTACCTTATATTGCTCGAGTGAAAGCCTCCCTCATGTATTTTCCAAGTCAGTTTCTATTTCAAGTCTCTGCTTATTAAACACTTCTAAAAGGAGTTCTTTTCCGAGAAATCACAACTTCAATCTTCATTTTATTCCGTCAACTATGTTAGACCAATGGAATGCAATCTTGTCTGCATCTTTCTGCACAAAGTTCAAAGTAAACTCAAATAGTACATTGGCTGCAAGAGCTATTTCTGATTTCATGACTACTTTCCAAGCTCTTTTATGTAATTTTCATATACACCATATTTTTTCTGTCATGGTCATCAGCTGTGAACTATACCGACCTGTATTATTGCCATTACCCAAGATTTGGGTCCTCTGGTCAACACATTTATTCCACACAGCATTTGGGATTACATGAAAACAAAAAAAAAAAATCCACATTCCCATTAATTTACATACATTTAAAGCTGCCAAATGAACAATGTTGTGAACAGTGCATTCCAAATCCCAAGGCCTACAAATTCCTAATTGGCAAGAAATGAAGTTGCAAACAGGATCACACTGCATGGGTTTTAAAGCATCAGTAGACAAAGCCTGTACTTTATCACTTGTAGCCCACAAATTCCAACTTGAATAAAGGTAAAGGTTGTACTAACAGGTAATTTATATCTCAACCATTCTCTGCCAGGAGTTTTTTGTCAGTCAACCAACTTTAAAATGGATGATGTCCAGTTGTCGTCTCAAGTTCATAAAAAATAATTGATAGGAGCAGGAGTAGGTCACATTGCCCCTAGAGCCTCCTGCTCTGTCATCCAATAAGATCGATTCAATCTTGGCAGCTGTCCAGGGAACAAAATTCCAACGATTCACAACCCCCAGTGAAGAATTTGTTCCGCAAATCAGTCTTAATTGATTACCCCTTATTCTGAAACTATGTTCCCGAGTTCTAGATTCCCAAATGAGTGTGCCATATCAAGCCCCTCAGAATCTTTTCTCTTTCAATAATAACACCTCTCATTTCTCTAAGCTCCAATTAATTATAGGCTCAACCTGCTTAATCTTTCAGGAATCAACCTAGTGAGTTTTCCATTTTGCCTTCAATGCAAATACATGTTTCCTGACAGAAGGCTTTCATCGATGCAAATATATTACTCCTAGCATCACGAGCTCTTGTATTGTGCACAGACCTTCTAAGTACTACGTTCCTGAATGCCTTTTGATGTCTAAATACATCAAATCTCCTGGCTCTGTTCAATCCACCTGTTGGTTACATCATCAAAGATGGCTAATAAATTTATCAAAAATGATTTCCCTTCCATAATCTCATGTTGAATCTCCTTGATTGTATTATAATTTTCTAAATGTCTCACTGCCACTTCATTTGTGGAGGATATAAACATTGAGGCCAGCCAAGATTGCATTGTAATAAAATCCAGAAGTAACAAAGATGGTGTGGCAAAAAAGAAGATGGATTGTCAAACTCATGTTTACTAACCTTTCTAGAGGCAATGTCTTTGTATGTCCTAGGACATGTGTAAACTGCAAGTGTAGCTTTGTTGAAAAGCATTTTGACTTCACACTACAGCTGAAGTATGTGCAGAATCTAAATCTTGCATCACAACACAACTGGATTCCAGAACAAAGCGGAATTATATCCTTTAGAGAAGTAAGTTTCATTCTACTTTGCACTGGAGTTGACACTCAATTCCCAGTCCAAAATAAGCAGAGTTACAAAGTGATTTTGGCACTATGTGAACCTGTGGAGCTTAAATGCACCATGAGAAAAGCTTGAGACAAGTGAACTGTAGATTCAGCAGCATATTATGAAGGGACTGAGGGCCAATATTTAAAACAAAATTGTCTGGAATTTAGATTCTCATTTCTTCTCAAGTTTTACTGTAAATCAGCTTCAGCAACCAGGTAGAGATTTCTCTCGTATCTGCTTGTCCGTAGATGTGCCAGTCAGATTACTGTACTGTGTAGACTGTTCACTTATTCTCATGGTAATTGAAGAACAGAACAAGGAGAACACAGTATTCTATCATTGCTGATTTTCCCAGGGTCTGAATGACAATTTACAGGAAACAAACAGAACTGTGTGTGCCTTCAGAAAATCAAATCCCTTTGTTTAATTGCTAAAGATACTGCTCTAAAAGAGCATGCAGGTAGTCTGTGATGCCAAACATATCATCAGCAACACACTGATTGATTATCTTGGATCCCATCATGACTGGTGTATTCCATCTCAGCCCTCACTGAATAGGTTTCAAACAGGCGGGTCTATGAGAAAGAAGGTGGGAAACCACTGGTTACACATTAAAGCAATGATTGATAACTCACATTCTGAATCCATACAGTCCTGCTAAGGAAAAGAAAAAGGTGCATTTGTCTTTTAGGAGCTCAATTCAGAAGGATTGATATAATTAAAATGCACTTCAGCTCCATAACTCGTGCTGCATTCTACACCACAGACCTCAGAAAGTCTGTCAAACATAAAATTACTATCCATTGCAAGATAATGCTAAAGTTTCTAGAGGATGCATGAGGGTTTAATTTTAGAAAGAGACTGCTGATGTACGTTATTTCATATTGGGTTTGTTGTTTTCTACTGTCATGGCATGTTGAAAATATTTTTCTCCAATTTTCATTCTCTGAACTTTTTCCTATTAACAATAAGCCTTAGGAGAAGTGACGTTGCATATTCTCTTCCTGCAGTAAGGACGAATGGAATGACAGCCTCTTGTCTCGACCAAATAAAAGGATTTTAAGAAACCATAATCCAGTTTCCAGTAGGTATCAGCACAGCATGAAATTGTCTATAATTTGGCGCTAATTGTCACTTTCAAGGCTTGAGGTTTGCCGGCATCTGAAATATATTGTTGCAGCAATAAGTGAAGCATTTTAACCTTCACTGACTATTCTATATCTGTTCAGGCAATACTTGATAGTAGTACTGGAAGTTTGAATTGGGAAGGTGTTCTGTTACCTAGAGTTAACATACAGCTATTTTCCCATTTTTTTCTCTGTAATATGGCCTCTTCGAAATTCTGAATAACTTCTTAGAACGGTTGATAAATACCTTTTTGTTTTGCTTTGGGATGAAAAGCGAGTAAAGAATATAACTTGGCTAACAGGGCAATTAATGTGTTGAACATAGTTCATGAAATCTTCGCAGCTGCTTTTCTAAATGGGATGGTGCAGTTTAAGCTTTAGAAGTTTTTTTCTTCAAACAAAGAAGCTGGCCAAGAGGCTGAGTGGAAGGATCATTATCCAGCAGAGTTTGTGGAGTAAACTCAGGGGAGGTACAATCGTTGTGGCACTGAAATGATAGTGCTGGTGTGGCATCAGTGAGAGGCATAGCAATGATTTAGCCAAAGGCGTCCAATTTAAATCAACCATAACTGCTCTAAATATGGTACAGATCTCAATCAAATCCCACGGCTTTAACACAAAATGAGGATAGTTCAAAACCAATATGCCTGGAAATTCCCCATTCTGAAAATGTATCCTGTCAGGCCCTTGATTGTTGGAGAAAACAAGGAAACAACTTTAGTGCCTTAAGGTTCTACACTGTGTGTGGCAGATACTTTTGAGACAGACCTTGCCACATCCTGGTGGGTGGTTTTCATGGAAATAAACACTTTGGTTTTCCTAGTCTGATTACTTTAGTGGTAGAGACCTCAGTAGAACTGAGGGAATAGTTGTGGCCTACCAAATTCAGTGTTAAGTGATAAGGTTAACTCATCTTTAATGTAGTTTAACTCATCCAAAAACATCAAGCTCAATCAGTTTAGGTATGGACTTGAATTTAATCTGGTCAAATTGAGAAAGTGACCAAATGCGTGTGGATAAATGTGAGGCACTTTGGTAGCAAAAACAGAAAGGCAGATTATTATCTAATGGGGAAAGAGGGGAAATGGGTGTCCTTGTATACCAGTCACTCAAAGTAAGCATGCAGGTGCAACAGGCAGTGAAGAAAACAAATGCTATGTTGGCCTTCATAGCAACAGGATTTGAGTGCAGGAGCAGGGATGTCTTGTTGCAAATGGACAGGGCCATAGTGAGACTACACCTGGAGTCTTGTGCACATTTTTGATCTCCTTATCTGAGGAAGAATGTTCTGGCTATGGACAGATTGCGACAAAGGTTTACCAGACTGATTCCTGGGATGGCAAGACTGAAGAGAAACTAGATTGGTTACGATTATATTCATTGGAGTTTAGAAGGGGAGGGGGATCTCATAGGAACTGATAAAAATTTAACAGGGCCAGACAGGGTAATCACAGGTAGATGTTCCTGATGACTGGGGAGTCCACTACTAGGGATCAAAGTTGGAGGATATGGGGGAGGCCATTTAGGACTGAGATGAGGAGAAGTTTCTTCAGCCAGAGTGGTGAGCCTGTGGAATTCCCTGCCACAGAAAGCAGGTAAGGCTAAAATATTGAATGTTTTCAAAGAGTTAGATACAGCTCTTAGGACTACAAGGATCCAAGTATTTGTGGAGAAAGCAGGAACATGGTATTGAGTTGGATGTTCAGCCATGATTATACTGAATGGCAGAACAGGCTCAAAGAGCTGAATGGCCTACTCCTACATTCTATGTTTTTACTTTTATTAGATTCTTCATTAAAGTTAAATAAAATGTTTATCATTACAAAGCTTTCAGACTTTACCTCTAGTACTTCATCTTGCACCGTATATCATTACCAGAATATAACTGGTAATCCCTGAATTAGGATTACAACAAGTCAGTGCAATGTTCATGATTTGACAAGAAGCAATCTCTGAAGAGGAAATAACTTTAATAATGAGCTTCAAATTAAGGCAAAAGGGGCTGCATTAAATTATCTGATGATTGTCTTGGATACTGTGTAGAAAAGATCAATTTTAGTTTAAGGGAGATGCTGGAACAGTCTAGAAAAGGGAGACCTTTTTGAAGTGTATCAGCTTCCTA